ATTAGTCTTGCTGAAAGTTTCATTCTATAACATAACCACGGAAATCCTAACTTTTATTTTTTCAAGAACTTTTGTTTTCTCTTTGTTTTAAAAAATTTATACAAATTCTAAATATATATAATACTACGATTTTCATAATTTAATAAAAAAAGAAAATAAATATTTCTACTTTTGAGTCCATATATACCTGAATTATATTAAATAGGGGACGGAATGGGCCGGGTTGGGCCGGGTTTGCATGGGCCCAAAACCAAGCCCAGAAAATATTTACAAGCCCAAGCCCGGCCCATTAAAAAAAAGAGCCCGCAAGTACGGGCCGGGTCGGGTTTTAATTTTAAACTAGGCCCGGCCCAAGCCAAGCCCGGCCTATTGTAATAGTGAAAACAACAAATTAACACTACCCAAAATGCTCTCTAACCTGAACTCTAATAATGGAAAGCTATGATCGAGACATGGAAAGATTTGGTTTAAGGAATTAGTCTTTGGATTAGAGCTCTAGAATATGTCACGAAGCTCTAATTTGGGTTATACTTAGCATTAGGTTATTCACTAATCGGAAACTTAAGCATTTTACAACTTCGAATATTGGACTTATGTTGGTTGTTAGCTGTCTTTATTCAAGGTAATATTTCAGGTCTTTATATGCATTCGTTACTATCTAATCTGCTAACACTGTACGTTTTATCTACCATATATGCTATATCTATCTTATTCTATATGGCATATCTGTGCTATATATCATATCTGCTATATCGGCCTGGAAATGATCTGGACCAAATTTCCCTTTTATGGCGTAAAGGATTATCTAGCATAACTCCATAAAAATATATAGCTTTTTTTTTTTCTACGTATTAAATAGCTTACTTATGGCAATGAAACGTGAAATTTTTATGGATAAACACTTGACACCCAAATATTGAAGAATTTTATAAATTTTAAGCATCATAGAATTTTTTGAAGTATTATGTAATCCTTGTAAAGTCTATATTATTCGATTATACCATAAAAATACATATACAAGATCCAGATCTATTTCATTCCACTAATTTTTGAATCCTTTAGTAGACCTGAGTCTAGTACATGCTAAGAGATTACATCATGAAAAAGAAAAAAATTTAAAGTGTATATACATTTTGTATTTATAATCAGCAGTTTGGTATTTGAAAAAAACTGCATTTAATTAAAGATTCTATAGTTTGCGCCTGATCTAATTCGTAGTAGATCTGCTATTTTAAGCAAAGATTTAAGAGAATTGAAATAGTTAAGTACACAACTAAATACAAATTATACCATTATATCGAATGAGAGGTTAAAAACATATATTAATCTATTTGTTTATAGAAAAAAAAAATAGCCAAGCATATAAGATATTATCTAGTTTTGTTCTTTTGCATATTTTATCTAATCTTAGCTGCAGACTAGTATTTCAACACTTTCTGAAGTAAGACTTGATTGATAGTTATTAATAATTTTTCCTGCAATACTAAATACCTAAACAAAATAAAGAATAATATGAGTTAGTCTTTTTATAGCTAAAATTAAAAAATTAAATATATTATATTTTTAATTTGACTAGTAAATTGCTAAGCTAATACTTAATTGAAATATTATTTACTGATTCTGATGCAACTGAGGTTATTGGGATAGCAAGTAAATCTTTTGCCATTAAAGCCACAGAAGGATATCTTAGTTCATTTTCTTTCTACTAAGATAAAATATCAAATGATCCTGCACAAGAACAGGAGATAAGTAGATCTGTGATATATTGTTCAAACTCATTCAGTTTATTCACAACATTAGCTTGGTTATCCACAAGAAAGTGGTCGAAGTCTTGCATTAGTTCATCTTCTTGAGAAATAGTATTAGAAGAATTATCGTTATTATAATTGTTAGATACAACTGTATTTTGCATATATGTCAACTAGTAGATCATTATAGCTCTGTATGATAAGAGTAATAGAAAGAAAAAACCTATAAATTGATTTACTACTTTTCATCTTATCAGATTCTACTCCTGAAGAACCTAGTCTATGTAATGATTAGCTCTTAATATTATATTCTAAGCAATAATGTTATCAAAGCGACTAGATCAACTAGTTGTATTTGTATCATATATAATTATTGTGAGATTAATTTTACAGAGACTGAATCTAATAAAGTGAAAAGTAGTAAATTAATTTTAATTAATTTTATAATAAGTAACATAGCGAAGGCTGTTGTTATTATCTGTCAAAGTGTTACAAATAATAACTACCTAATATAAAAATAATCACATGATATCAAAATTATTTACTGCGCAGAGTATCAGTTCAGTTCTCTGAATATGATGGTGATTTTTTTTTTTGGGGTTCGTTTTGAGATTCGGCCTAAATTAAAGCTAATGTTAGTCAAATTGATAATTTTCGTACCCCAAATTTTTACTAATTGTAATTAGATGGTGATTTTTTTTTTGCGCAGTATTTTGAGATTTGGCCCACATTAGAGATCTTCGGCCCTGTAGATTAATTAGATGGTGATTTTTTTTAGGGTACTGGTGATTTTTTTTGGGGTACTGGTGATTTTTTTTGAGGGAACTGCAAATTTGAAAATGATTGTAACCTAAATTTAATAGTAAATTTTAGGATACAAAAAAAATCGTATCCTAAAAAATTACTAATAACAATTAGATGGTGATTTTTTTCAATAGGATACGTTTAGGATACATTTAATTTGCACCCTATTTTTAAAAAAAATTTTAATGTATTAAGGTCGATGGTGTGAAAGAATCTTTTTAATAAGTATGTGAAACAAATTTTTCAGATTAAAAATTCCGATGTATCAAAATTAAAATAAATAAAGATTTTCTTTATAATGAATTCAAAGTTTTATTATTTTATCTAATTATGCAGCTTTATTTTTTCGTAGGATAAAATTGATTTTAGCATATAAAAAATTAACCCAGTTCCAACTCTAGACTTATATGCAAAGGATCTTTGGGGAATAAATATTTAAATAATTGACTTCTCTAATCATTGTGATATGTCACATTTTTTGAATGTAAAAAAATTTAAAATATTAGAGGATTTCAAAGTCAATTGACTTGATCGATACGAATGTATACCTGTAATTGTTAACTCTGAATGTTATGGAAAATTAGAAAGTTGATTGTAAAATTATCTTAATTTTAAAAAATACGTTAGCTAAAAAATAAATACCTTTAAATGTATTCGTATTTTTATGTGCTAATAATTTTGCTGGTATACATAGAATTTTATTGTTTTGGTGATATAATTAGCAATTTTTTGATTATTTTGTCAGCATTGAAGAATTGCTTTTTAATATCACTAACATATTCGTAAAAATTCTCAAGTTAACATAAAATATTTTATTTTAAAAATTTGATATAAAAAAAAAAATAATTTTAAAAAAAAACACCGATTTCTGATAATTTAAAATTTTAAATTTAAGACTAATATAAAATAAAAAATAATTATTATTTCAATAAAAAATAAATTAAATAATTCCTTTCATTTGAAAATCATATATCTTTTGTTTATTTTCTAATTCTTTAATTTTCTTTTTTAATTTTTTATTTTCTTCTTCGAGTTTTATGATTTTATTTTTTTGGTATATTTTTTCAGCTTCTTCCTCTCTCTTTCTTTTCTTATTATTTTCGATATTTTTTTTGTATTTAATTTCATATTCTTTAATATTTTGAGACGTTTCAGTATAATCACATATAATAACATGATCTTTTTCATCAAAATTTACAATTTCATTTTCTGCATTTTTTGATAAAGTAGCAGTAGTAATTAAAAGACAGAGTTCATTTTTAGGTCTTGAATGAACAGTACTTATAAATTCACGCATTTCTTTTACTTTTAAATATGATCCATCTTTTTTCCATTTTAATTGAGCCATATAATTAAGAGTTAAATAACAACCTAAAAATAAAAAATAAATATCAGATGCTTCTTCGCAATTATCAATATTTACATTAGGCAATTCCTTCGTATGACCATAGACAACTTTACACTCACTAATGAGACACTATGAACCGAACAGGTTCACTCCTAACAGCGTGACTTATATATCGATTATACGCTCAACAAAAGATATTTAATAAGAAATGTCTTACCCATTAAATCAATATTTCCATCAGATATTTTTTCCCAATTTTTATCTCCGCAATAAATAGATGTTGAATAAATCCAACATAAAATATCATTATTAGTCAAAAGATTGTATACAAAAAATTGAAAAATATTTCCCTTTTGTATAGGAGCGAGTTTCATAAATTCTTCTAAAGTATAACCAAATCTAAAATCTAAAAATGAAATAAAGTCATCATCATCATCATCATCTTGAGTTTCAATTATTTGTTCCATTATTTTTTATTAAATAAAAAAAAAAATACTTATCATTAAAAATTTTCGATTTATATTATTGTATCAATAGATCCATTTTTAATTATTCCTTTTTAGTTTCAAAAAAAAATTGAATTTCGGAGGTTCTGTGAAGATTTGTGTTCATTTTTATTTTATGTAAATCTCTGAAAAAGTTTGAAAAGGTTACATTTTATTCATTTTCAAAGAAATTCGTGTTACACATCGGAATTTTTATTCCGATAAACTTTTTATTTATCGTTAAATCCTCATGAGGAAATCTCTTAGATATATCCTCAAGAGGAAATAACAAGTGTAACAAAACTCCATATCATAGTACACAGGCACTAGTACCTGTTCAACACTTGTAGAACCACCCACTTACTTCTTTCGAAAAATCGAGAAGGTTTCATTAGAACCAGATAAGGACTTGTATACCATCTAACCAGATAGCCGAAAATACAGAACCAAATCCTTCCTTACAAATATTTTCGATATTATTTAGTTTATCAAAAGGAATCTATTCAATCACTTTCTCATATGAATTAGCTCTAAGTTGAAAGTATTTTAGACAGCCATCAATATTCTTATTTCTACTTGTTCAACCTTGAATTGTATTGTCGGGAGCACATTTATTACATTATTTATGTGATTTTAAGCTCTATTCATTAAATTAATACGAATAAAAAAGTTATTTAATATATAAATATTTATAAACATGAATTCTGATAAACTTTTATCTATTAAAGAAACTGGTTACACAATTTCTAAGATTATTAAAAGTTTATCAGATTATACCTATGATTTTATGTAAGCTGAGATTCAAGACAATAAATTTGTCAGGATTACATAAATATTGTCTGATGTATTTTCATCACGGGAATTACAGATCGGAATTTCTATTCCGATAAAATTTTTGTTTATCATTTATCTTTGAGGAAATCCTCATGATGAAACATTAAGTGTAATATGACGATCAAAAAAAAAAATATATATACATATAAATTTTTTTACTCTATTTATTTTTACAATAATTTTATATTGTTAGTACTTTTTACATCTTTCTTGTTTTCTTTCGTCGTTTGGCTATGAATCTTCGTTAGGTTTTGTGATTACGTGGATTCTTTCGTTGGCTTATGGTAATTTTCTTTCTTTTAGTGATTTGTTTTCGTTTGTTGTTCTTTACTTATTTTGTTTCTTGGTTTCCTATTTTTTTGTAGAGTTAACTATTATATAGTGTTTTGTTTTATTTTATAGGTTTTGGATTTCTTTCTTCGTTTCTTGGCGCTTTTCGTTAGTTTTCGAATTTTGGTAATTTTTTTATATTTTAGTCTTTTACTTCGTTCTTTGGTATTTTCTTTTTAACTAACATTTCTTTTATGTTTAGGTTCTGTTTTCATTCACACTTATTCTTTTTGTTTTTAGAATGGGTATTTCTTTGAGATATTGTTATTTCTTTTTCGAATTTAAATTTATGTTTTCCTCAATGTGTCTGGTTTTCTTATATTTGGGGATTTTCAGGTTTTAGGTAATTCTTCTTTTTTTTCTTGGTCTTTTGAATCTTTCTGAACGTTGGTTTTTTGTTCTTGTTTTCTTGTATATTTAACTAATGTTTTTCTTTTATATGTAGGTTCTTTGAGATGTTTGGTCTTTCTTTCGTTCCCTATCTTAGAATCGTTATGGTGTCACTACGTTGCGTATGTTATTCTGTCATTGGTAGATTTCATCAAGTATTTAAGATATTTATTTTGTTTGTTAAATTGAGTCCTTCGTTAACCATTATAACAGAAACAACAAAAATAAACGAATAGATTAATTACCTGTATCAGTATCCTTTTTTATTTCTAAACCCGATAGTAAACTACTAATATTTTCCATTTTGTAATTTTTAAGTTACCTTTTGTAACGTGATAACTGTATATTTATAGAAATTTACTAAATTTATTTCTACGTTATAAACATGAATTGCAGATTTTAAATACATAGATTAATAAATAATCTTTATACTCACGAA